GCACACAACCCAGGCCACAACATCTTTTTGTCTCACTTTGCGTCAGTTTCTCCTTGGGGGCAAAAGGGAAAAAGGGAGAGGCTGGAACGACACCGTCGTTCAACGGATGCACAGGCGGCCCTCGGCTCAAAATCACCCTCTCTGTCGCTGAGGGAGATATATAGATGGATTTGCCCCGTTTTAACGACCTCCCTTGCCAACAAGCTATGACACGAAAAGCTGCCGTTGGTTAAGTTGGCAACACGGTCGTTAAGCTTTTGCCGCATTGAGTTTGCTTGTCAAGAGGGTCGCAAAAGTGGATCGCCTCACCCCGGGATACGGCAACCGTTATAAACAGGAGTCAGTTGCCCGTTTGGATCCCGTGACTGGTGGAGATGCCGCAAACGGCCGTTAAGTATGAAAAACGGTCGTTCAGTCACTTGTTTCAGTGGCGTTGCAACTTCGTACGGTCCGTAAAGGGAACTGTTGTAAGTCAAGGACTGCCTAAATTCAGATGGTTTTGGGCAAGTGGTTCATACTTACGACGGTCACCGTTGACTGTTCGAAGTTACAACCGCACTGAAAAAAATGTGACCCAGGACCACTTTTCACACTTATGACAGATAACAGGTAATCAGAGTTGAAAGGGACCATAAAGGTCATCTAGTCCAACCCCCTGCCCAAGCAGGAGACCCTACACCATTTCTGACAAATGGCAGTCTAATCTCTTCTCCAGGGATGAAGCGCCCACAACTTCTGAAGGCAACTTCTGTTCCATGGGTTGATTGTTCTCTCTGTCAGAAAATTCCTCCTTATTTCCAGGTTGAACCTCTCCTTGGTCAGTTTCCATCCATTGTTCCTTGTCTGGCCTTCAGGTGCTTTGGAAAATAGCTTGACCCCCTTCCTCCTTTCTGTGGCAGCCCCTCAAATATTGGAAGGCTGCTCTCCTGTCTCCCCTGGTCCTTCTCTTCATTAGACTAGCCATGCCCAGTTCCTGCAACCGTTCATTATATGTTTTAGCTTCCAGTCCCCTAATCCTCCTGGTTGTTCTTCTCTGCACTTTTTCTAGAGTCTCAACAATTTTTTTATAGTGTGGAAACCAAAACTGGATGCAGTACTCTAGGTGTGGTCTTACTAAGGCTTTATAGAGTGGTATCAGTACCTTATTTGATCTTGATTGAATTCCTCTGTTAATGCTATTTAGTGTTGCATTGTTCTTCGTAGGTTTTAGCCTCCAGTCCCCTCATCATCCTGGTTGCTCTTCTCTGCACTTTTTCTAGTCTCAACATCCTTTTTTATAGTGTGGTGACTAAAACTGGATGCAGGATTCTAGGTGTCATCTTACTAAGGTTTTATAGAGTGGAATTAGTACCTCCTTTGATCTTGATTGTATCCCTCTGTTAATGCAATTTAGGATTGCATTAGCAATCCCGTGATCACAGGATTCATATTCAGAGGCTTGGCAACTGGCAGGTACATACGACAGTTGCAGAGTCCCAAGGTTACGTGCCATGCCCAGCCAGCAAGCCACGCCCAGCCAGTCACATGATCACCATGCCACACCCACAAATTAGGCCACACCCACAGAACCAGTGGTGAAGAACTTGGAATCCCACCCCTGATGCGATCCCCTTTTTACAACCTTTGGATCCGCAAAAGTCAATGGGGAGGACAGATTCAACTTAACAAGCGTGTTACCAGCTTCACACCTGCATTGATTTATTTACCAAGCGCGGCAGGAAAGTTGGACCAATGGAGCCAAAAAAGCTCCCTTCCCAACAGTCTCGCATAGCAGCAGAAATGTTGGGCTCGATGGTGGTCGTAAGTCGAGGCAGAGTTAAATCTGGCTTCGCAGCCCTCTCTGCCGCCTGCTGCCTCCTTCTCGCCTGATTTGTACGATGGTTCGTTTCTCTTCTCCTTCAGGTGTAGGGTCTCCTGCTTAGGCGGGGGGGTTGGACTAGATGACCTACAAGGTCCCATCCAACTATCTGTATCTTTCTCTGCAAATTTCACACTTATTGCTCAGTTCTTGTTCTCATTCTCTCTCTCTCTCTCACACACACATAGACAATTAACTCCCTCGCTTGCTCCTAGTCTGCCTGGCCCTCTCTGATCCTCCGGATAAGATCAAACCCAGGGCAAGAAACACAACAGCTGTTGTCGCTGCTGAACCTCTCTTCTGTGTCACTTTTTAGGCAACAGATAAGTGCACAAACACAACGGACACGCTCACACTTACTGTACCTAAGCCGTACTACTCAACTCCACGCCACTAATACGGTGTATAATTTGTTTTTTGGGGGGAAGGAGGCTGGGCTTTTTATTTTTCTGCAAAGACAGCTCAAGATACCAAACACGAGTTGGAAAGAGGGAAAAAAAAAGTGGAAAAGAACAAGCACCCAAAAAGTGGAAAAGAAAGAGGAGTATGGGGATTTTTTTTCCTTCTTATGTATCCAACTCAGCTGAACCAAGCCATCATATATGGCTTCATGGTGGTTGGCTTAGGGAGTCTGCCATACAAAGCCACCTTTCCTCTCATCTATTCCAGCTTGACTCCTTGGCTTCTTCCAAAACCCAAGGGTTTGCGGGCATTCGTTTAACGATGGTCACAACGGCATTGAACGGCACTGATGACCAGTCTTTGCACTTATGACCACTGCACACCTCCACAGTCAAGTAACCGAAATTCAGGCGCTTAGCAAGCGGCACATATTTATGACGGTTTCAACGTCCCCAGGATACGGGAAGGCCATTTGCAACTTTCCCAGCCGGCTTCCAACCAGCAAAATGAACGCGGGAAGCGGGGTCTGCTTAACGACTGCATGATTTACTTAATGACTTCCCCCCCAAAAAAAGACTGCAAAATCAGGTTCGACTCATTTTAACAACCGCCTTGCTTAGCAACGGAAATTCTGCTCCCAATTTTGCTCACAAGTCGAGGACTCTTTCCCAAAGACTATTTGTTCTTTTTTTTCAGCTGTTTGCTTTCTAAGTTTTTTCAAGGTTTCCTTTTTTTTCTTCTTCTTCTTCTTCGGCTATTATATTTTAAGGGAACTTTCACCCTAAAATAACATCCAAGGCCTTCAGCCCCTACTGCCTTGGGACCCAAGAATGATTTTAATTCATGGTGTTTTTTTCTTTTTCAAACTGGTAGTTTTATTTGGGATGTTTTAGATTTGATTTACATGCCTTCCTTTATGCTTTTATTGAACGCGCTCGGCTGCAGCCCTTCGCTGGAAGGGGAGAGATAAATCTTTGGGATAATAATTATGAAAAAGGAAGAGATTTGGCTTCAGAAAAGCGACAGAATGGATGGAGCCAATGTGGTATCCGAAGAGCTGGGTGCCTTGAAATACACTCTATAAAGCCTTAGTAAGACCACACCTAGAGTCCTGCATCCAGTTTTGGTCACACTATAAAAAGATGTTGAGACTCTAGAAAAAGTGCAGAGAAGAGCAACCAGGATGAACAGGGGATTGGAGGCTAAAACATACGATGAATGGTTGCAGGAACAGGGCCTGGCTAGTCTAGGGAAGAGAAGGACCAGGGGAGACAGGATAGCAGCCTTCCAATATTTGAGGGGCTGCCCCAGAGAGGAGGAAGGGGGTCAAGTTATTTTCAAAAGCACCCGAAGGCCTGATAAGGAATAATGGATGGAAACTGAACAAGGAGAGATTCAACCTGGAAATAAGGAGAGATTTTCTGACAGTGAGAACAGTATAAATATTGAATTTTTTATTAAAAAAAGAGCAATTTTTACCCAAAATCAGGCAAAGCAGGCAGGCAGATGAGTTGCTCACAGAATCATTCAGTGATCTATCTATCTGCCATCGGCTAGCTCAGCCTGTCACATAAAATTTGCTTGCCGTGAGTCTGCACTGAATAATAGAAACTTCAGTCCTAAGGGAGGTTCGGCTGTGCTTAAAAGCAGAGCCGAAGATCTAAAGACTAGCTAGAAAGCAAGAAATCCAACCGTTTCCTGCTTCCTAGTTAATCTAAATCTCCCGGCACAGCAGAACAGCTGATGGTTGGAAAAAGGAAAAATAGCAATTTAGCAGGCAAATTTGCCGGGTAAGGAGTGAGTGGGCGGGGAGGGTTCCTGTGGGCGCACAAGCCTTGTGTTTCTGCGCAGCCTGGATTAATTGCTTTGGGGGAGGTGCTCTGGGGGTGAGATTTCTCTGCGGCCCATCAAAATTTTCTCATGGTCCACCAGTGGGCTGCGGCCCACTGGTTGGCGACCGCTGTTCTACTCTACTCTACTCTACTCTACTCTACTCCACTCCACTCTCCATTCCACTCCATTCATTATTCTATTCTATTCTATTCTATTCTATTCTATTCTATTCTATTCTATTCTATTCTATTCTCCAATATCCTATATTGACTGTTTCCTAGTATGATTTGATTGCTTCTTGTACCCTATGACTATTATTAAGTGTTGTACCTGATGATTCTTGACTCTTGACGAATGTATCTTTTATGTACACAGAGAGTAATGGTTAAGAGTTCAGCTAGCTGCAGCCAGCTGCCTGCAATTTGTCAGTTCGAATCCCACCAGGCTCGCGGTTGACTCAATCTTCCCTCCTTCCGAGGTGGCTAAAATGACGACCCAGATTGTTGGAAGCAAGAGGCTGACTCTGTAAACCGCTTAGGCTGTAAAGCAGTATATAAGTATAAGCAGTATAAGTGCTATTGCTATTGCTATACACACCAAGGCAAATTCCTTGTGTGTCCCATCACACTTAGCCAATAAAGAATTCTATTCTATTCTGTGTGAATGTGCACCATCTCCCATAAACCACAACTTGGCAAATAGTTTTTTCCTCCAGAGTCAAAACATTTGGCCACGAAGCCGGCGCAGCAAGGTTTGTTAAGACGTATACACAACCCCATCTTAAGCGCTTACACCAAGCCAGGCCAGCAGGTAAACACCGACACACACACACACACAAACCCGGAGGAAACAACTCCAAGTCACAAGGCTTGGCCTTGGATGTGAAGTCCATTTTTTCCCCACTTACCATTTTCAATTTGTGCTGCTGCAGGATCTCATCCAGGTTTTGCCTTTTCTTGTAGTTGAAGTAGAAGTTTTTGCACTGCGAGACGCTCTTCGACCCCACCATGCGGGCAATGGCGGACCAGTTGCGTCCATGTTCAAGGAGACCTGGGTGGACAAGGCAGAAAAGCAGAAGGTTAAAAAAAAAAGCAGGTACAGGAAGGTGGTTGAAGGCAGAGAGTTTTTTTTTAAAAGGCTTTAGTTTTAGTTTAGTTTACCTGATTGTCATTGCACCTCGTACAACAAAATCAAACCTCACCTTCAGTGCACATCATGACCATGAAAATAAACACAAACACACCTCCTTCACACTCCACACATTGAATTGAAAACCCCTGACACCGCACCAACACTGCACTATACAGTAGAATTCAACAGAGCTACTGCCCTGGGATAGAAGCTGGTTTTCAGCCTATTCGTCCTTGTTTTTATTCTCCTGTAACATCTGCCAGATGATAATAGTTCAAAAAAAAGGTGAAGATGTTTTGAACTTTCTTAAGGTAGCAGGAGAATGTTTCGAACTTTCTTAAAGCTCTTCCAAAGAGGGGAGAGGGCAATTGCATTCTATACAATTAATATTGTGTTAATATTGCCCTATACAATAGAATGCCCTGGGATAGAAGCTGTTTTTCAGCCTGTTTGTCTATTTGTCCTTGTTTTTTCAGCCTGTTTGCCTATTTGTCCTTGTTTTTATTCTCCTGTAACATCTGCCAGATGGTAATAGTTCAAAAAAAGGTGAAGATGTTTTGAACTTTCTTAAGGTTAATTAATATTGTGTTAATATTGCCCTATACAATAGAATGCAACAGAGCTACTGCCCTGGGATAGAAGCTGTTTTTCAGCCTGTTTGTCCTTGTTTTTATTATCCCGTACCATCTGCCAGATGGTAATAGTTAAACGGTCGTAAGTGTGAAAAACGGTCACAAGTGACTTTTTTTCAGTGCCGTTGTAACCTCAGTTGCTAAGAGAACTGTTGTAAGCCGACAACTTCCCGTATTTAGGATTTGATTGACGCTCTGCTTTTTGGCTCTTGCCAAGCTCCCTATCTTCCCATGGACCTACAGAGTAAGTTTGATTTCCTATCTCGCCTGTTTCTTCGAATCGTCGCACTGATTTTTAGGACGACGCAAAGGATAGATCCGGTCCGTTGTTTTTGATCAAAGCATCCAATAGAGATTTAGCCCAAACCCTCCAAAAGTATCCAAGCCATTCAGGTCAACAACAGGGACATGAAAAGCACCTCCACCAGGAAAAATTCCAGAATGTGACGGAATAAGAAAAAAACCCTAAACGCTAACCAAGTAGCAAAACAGACAAAATCTCAGCGGTAAACCCATCGGTCGGTTTTTTTCCCCCTTGAAAAAAATCACCCAAAGGGGGCCAAACCGACTTGCTCGGGGTTGTGTCAAAGGCCTTTTTAATGAAAGCACGCTAAACTCTGCCAAAGGAGAACCCTTCTCTCTCCCTCTATTTATTTTTTATTTTATTTTATTCTCCTCTCTCTCTCTCTCTCTCTCTCTCTCTCTCTCTCTCTCTAAGGAAGAGAAAGGGAGAGAGAGGGCCATAAAACCACGGTTAATCTTCTCCAGATTAAAAATAATAAAATAAAAGGCAAGAGGATAAAAATAGACGTCGGAATAACGCCTGAGAACTTTGAGGATGGGATGAAAATTGCTTCATCCGCCTGTCATTTGACTCAGGAATCGGGAAGGTGCAACTGTGTTTGTCTTGGCACCTGTTGAGAATTTGAAATTTGTTTCTCTCTTTCCCCCCCCCCCCCCTTCTTCTTTTGCTCCAGCCCGCTGGATTTGCACCAACCCCAACGTTCCTGTGAAACTTTGGAGAGTTTCGCAAACACCCCTTGTAAACAACTCCTTTTAGCCTTCATTTTCAAAAAATAATAATATTTTTTTTTTAAAAAGGAACCTGGCAACCCAGAATGGATTTCCCGGAGGTCTTTTGATCGCTCTCCAAAAACCCTAAACTTTGGGGAAAGTCCCTTCTCTTTTTTTTCCTTTTGCTTCCTCTCTTGAATAAAGTGGCCTGCTTCACAGGGCTGTTGTAACACTGCCTGTCTGGGTGGAGACTGGATTGCACGACAGCAAGCAGCCAGTGCTGCACCCTCTGTTCTGTGGTCAGATCTGAACTCGTGTCCGGTCCTAATCTGCGGTGTTTTTATTTTTTTCACCTCTGGGGTGTTTAGCTAAAGTTGAGTCTCACCTATGTCTGCCTTTTGGGGCTGTTAAAAGACTCCCCGGGGAAAGGTGGGGAGAGATGCTCCTTGCAAACTCTGACAAACTTTGCAAAAGTTTTCAACAAACTACCTTGAAAAAATAAAATAAAGCCACATCCCGATTAATGGGCAGAGTTCAAGGGGCTGGCATGAAAAATGCATCATTGTGCCCATCAGAAAATGCCAGGAGGGGGCTCTAGAGCTTTAAGGAGGCTTCAAACCCAGGCTGGCATCACACCTGCTTGATCCTGTGAGGTCTACTCCGTGGGTAT